TAATAATTTATTCAATTAAGAAAAACTATTTTAATGGAAAAGCTCACCTTGGAATAAGAAATTATCGAACGCATTCTTGTTGAAACATAAGATAACAATTATCGTTGCGTCGGAATGTTACTAATTACTTGATTCCAACAGAGCAATTTTCTTACGTTAATACGGCCAATTAGCATTCATCGTCGATTTTTTATAACAACCGATTTAACTTCCTACTTGTCAATAGATACTATATCGTAAATTTTTTAATTACTTCAGAACGTCAGATTGAATTTAATATACAGGGTGCTCTAATTAGTGCGACCATGAAAAAGTGTTTTCTTCGTGGTTCGCCATCCAAGAGTTAATCACTTACATAATTCAATGGGAAATTGGTTAAAAATATTTAAATAGAAAATTTTAATAGTATCTAATAATTTACAAATTAGAAACTTAAAAATTTTGTTATTTGACTTATAAATATTTGTGATATTCAATACGAAATTCATATGATCACTCGAAATTTTAATTTCTAAACTGTATTCTGTTGAAACGATTCATTCCGAGGCTTTGCTTCTGGAATGTAAACAGAAACATCGAACCACTTCTAGGAAATCATTTCGTATCATCAACATAACGTAACAAATTTCGAAAATACAACTTAATTTTCGAAAATATATATATAACTTAATAACAATTGAAAAATAAAATCACTCACATCAGAGAAAGAATGATTGTTAACTTCGATGCTTTCGATCACATCCGTAGATAAATCACAGTTTCGAAAAGCACTTTGTCACGGAAAATCCGGCGCGGGAAAATCTGGCGGGAAATGAAGAAGCACAGTCGCGACGAGCACGTGGCGAGCAACGAGATTGCAACTGTATCGCGATCGATCGTAGTCGAGGTGTCACTGGTTTGCCACTGGCAGACATCCTCGCGATTTATAAAGCCCCGCTCTCTGACTTCGCTTCGTGTCGTCCGGTTCGTTATTATTCCCCTGCCAACACTGATTCCCCCGCCATCTCTAACTACCGTTCCTCCCCTTCGCGTTACCGCGAATCGCGAAATGCCTAATCCTTTTGACCCTGTGATATTTCAATAGCTAAATTTTTATTTCAAATTTTTTTAATTGGAATGAATTAGTTTCTGAATGAATATTTTCAAATTTTGAAAATTTTTATCTTCTTATCTTCTTTGTAAAAAAGAAAAATCTTTATATTGAAAATAATGTAAAATTTTTCTTGATACATACTAGAATTCTTGAATTTTGGTTTTGATTTTTAATTACTTGCCCAAATTAAATTGATTTATACTGGTGGCATTAAAAATGTTAGAAGATACATTTTGAACAAAAATTCAAGCTATAAATTATCTGTAAAATATCTATTTCGTTTTTCTTGGTTGTACCATCTTCCAGGTTCAACGACGTGGAAGAGATGTCTGTTTATGAATGGTGGCTCGATTCGCATATCTAGATTGTTCCAGTGCAGACATTTGCACGTTACACTGGTTATCTGTTTGCCAACATAAAAGAGTTCGTTGCTGCTCGTCTGTTTCCTCCTATGCGTCATCTTGCGTGGGAAAGTTTGTTTAACAAATCTTCTGCTGCTGCTTGCTTATCTCAATGCAGTCAAACTAGGCGAAACTGGTATTCAACGCGAAATATCGCTGACATGCACCTACCTAAAATACTGAACCACCTACCAATGATCATATTTCAGAAACTAATTTATTGAAGAATTTTTTGAAATATTTGCGACTACTATTTTTTTGGTAATAACTATTTGAAAATGTACGAAAATTAATCTGCACCTATGTTAATAATTAAACCTACATAATCAACCAAAAATATGGAACTGTACATCAAAATTTTGTAAACTTTTGGATGAAAAATAAATGGAAATAATTTAATTCTAAATCTACACAATTTAGATAAAAATATAGAATCGTGATTAACACTTTTTTTAAATTTTTGAATCAGCTAAAAATAAAATATTTCTAATTTCTTATTTTAAAAAATAAGATTTTTAAAGTGATTTTTAAAAAATTGTTTTAATTTATTAAATTGTATCTAGGAAGGTGATAACAAAAATTTCATATAAAATAATGTTCCATTTGCCAATTTTACATGGAAGATTCTGCACTCAACGAAGTTGAAAGCATCGAATGCATATTTCCAGCATGATATTACAGCTGATAAGAATTAAGTTCAACGATCCGATATGTGACATTGACCAGACACCAACGAGTCCTTAAAACTTTATTGACCGAACACTGAGGGAATTTGTGAAAATTTTATTGGCCTAGATAGTAAGATAGTTGAAAATAGGACAAATGAAATTTAACAACTATAACCAGTAATAGTTTTCCTCTAATTTTATCAATTGCAAATATTACAGTTGCCATAAAAATAATAGTATGTTACCTAATATTTCTAATTAATGCAAGTTTTTTTAATTACTGTTTTTAATTTAAATATTTTCCCGTGCTTTTGTATATTTGGATAAGAAAAATAAATAAATAAATTAGAATTTAAAACAAGAGAATTTCTATGATTATTAATATTTTACTGCATAAATATTTAAATGAATATAAAGCTACTTGTCCAAATAATATGAAATTCCGATAATTTGAAAATGAGCAAATTTCCAATACGTTCAATTGATTTTTCATTTCTAACGTGTGCAAACTTATCGAACAATAAAACGTTTTGTTTCCCCTTCATGATAGCAATTCAACCAAAAAGCTTCTCGAACAATTTACATAACTCGGCTAAACACGTGCGCCAGCAGCAAGCTCGTTAATCAAACACTCGACTCGGATGGCAGTTTCTACGATTGTGCAGCTCGCGTGCATATAACCGTGCACTTTTCCTCTACTTCGTGATTCTCTATTGTATAAATTCAGCTCTATTCACGCTCATTACATCGCAGCAAGCGTACGATCGATTCCCTCAACCATATATATATTTTGGTTTCGAATATAGACTAAAGAATCAGCCAAGGATCCACCCCTCACAAGAATTATGAAATTTAATAAAAATAATTAAATTATATTAGGAAATAAAATTGCTTTGCTAAGATTCTAAAAATGAAAATTACTGCAAAATTGCAAATTTGAAAAATTACAAAATTATAAACTTATTTCACAGTTCATTATAATGTAACTCTTTAACCATCTAATGCAATTTTAATTATTTAAAAGGAACGAATCAATTATTCCATAGGCAATTATTTTCGGATAACAGTAGCAATTATTTCCATATAGTAGAAGCAAACACTCATCAAATGATCGAATACGCGTTTCTCAGTCATATGTGACATTATTAATAATTCATTCGTAACTGCAAATTGAAATGCGGTCGAACGATAATTGGATTAATCTCCTGGCACGAGTGAATCAGAAACGAAAAAAATCAGTAATTTTATAATCGAACATCATTCCATTGTCACACGGGAATTTCGTTTCTGGTTAATATTATATATTAGGTTATTGCAAATAATATGAACCATTTATTCATAAACTCTGTTGAAAATAATATTCAATAATTGATATATGTTTCAAAAAATAAATATTTAAATTCTGTAATAAAAAAAAAAATAAATTCATTAATTTTTATTAATTAATTATTTCTTTCTCTTGATGTTTATAGCATTTAAATTTTTCGGAATTTTCTTGAGTTTTTCCTGTGGAAAAATCCCATGTCATTTCTAAATACATAATTTTGTTGTAAATTAACATTTTATAGCTAAAAACTATATTACGTATTAAGCCTCGAACGGTGGACCATGGAAAAAGCCCGAATTTTAATTTAATTTCGTATTTCATATTATTTGCATTTTCTCAATTCTTTTGAAGGTTCAATATTTATTATAATAACCGAAAATTATGAATTTAATAAAAATTAATGGAACTTTACCGCGAAGGTACAATAAGAGTATGATAATTAATGAAAATAGGCATTTGATGACCTAGTTTACGTTTAAACGATATTCGTTGTGGCGTGACAGTGTCATTTACAATTCATGGTTGATTTAGCGTTTCTTAATTGACACGATTTTGCTTTAAATAGGAGTATTGGAATTTAATCACATAACGTTACAAGTTCCAAATTTCAAAGTTATATTACAGATTTCTGTTATCATAACCATGGATAATGTTTGGACTTTATAATAGACTGACCCTGGTATTTCCAACCATACTGGGTCAAGATGGACTACCAATATAAACAAAAAGAATGATGTGTTAAAGAGTTATAATAAACGTCGAAACTAATAATAATAACAAACTTTGTGTTACACTAGCAGAGTGTATGGTGAGAAGAGATTAGCAGTAACTGTTTATTTTATATACATAAGGAGGCCGAATATAGATTAATTCTTTGACGTCAAAGAACTAATTTGACATTAAGAAAATAATTTTATAAATCATTTCAATTTTTCACTTCAAATATTATTGTACTCAAGACTCAAGTAAAGCACATGTCCAGTCAGCCTTGACACAGTAGAACAAACAATTAAACCGTGTTTCTAAATACGATGACTCGCCATGAATACAGAAATTCCCAATTTTTATTATCATCCTTAATTTGTTTATCTTGAATTCATGCTTAGTCACACATCTACGACGGAGGTGTGTTTTATTTTTTTCATTAAAATCCAGGCGCCGTTACTTCACTATATGAGGTTGAATAGACCTCTTCCAAGGACTGTGATTAAATACCACTTTATTGTGACACGGTCCAATCATAAATTATTTATAAACCCCGTTCAATGCTCGTATCGTGGTCGTAAAAATTCCTTCTGATTAACGTACGTTTCGACGGACCGTTTGAACCGTGACATTCCGATCAATTTAATCAACTTTTCAACGATACGAATTTTTTAAAAATTCTTACACGTGTCATGCGATTGTTTTTATATATTTATCAGTGACTTAAATTTTTATAGGAATCCATCGCCTTACATATTATTAACTATTACTTAATTTGCCTAATTTACAATATTAATATCACTCACCATTGAAGAGAAGCTTCTGCAGGCATCTCTAAGGAAAGCGGCAATGGGGGGCTCATACGTAGGGTCCCAGATGTAGGTGTTCAGCTAGGGTGGGCATCCTTTGAGGAAGTGGTAGCTGGGATGATTCTGCACAACTTTTTCCCTTACCACAATTCTCCTTAAGGCTTAGGTTTTGAGTTATTAATGAAAAACACCGCCTAATTAGAGCGCCGATAGCGCGCATGCCCGATCGCGAGTATCGGCTACGAAAACCACGCTCGACCGCAACCGTGAACAAACTACTCGGCAGCGCGTCGAGCTCAGTTCATAGCCGACACTCGCGGCTGCGCATGCGCACTATGCGGCTGCGCATGCGCACTATGCGATGCGCATGCGCACTAATTGGGTGATGTTTTTCATTAATAACTCAAAAACTAAAACTTAAGGAGCATTTTGGTAAAGGAAAAAGTTGTTCAGAATCATCCCAGCTACCACCCCGTCAAAATATGCCGGCCTTATTCGGTATATTTGCTGAAAATTTGTTAAAAATAAAAATATTTTAATAATAGAAAATCATTGTCTTTAGTACACTCTTAACTATTTTTATAAACTTAAATAAAATACCTTAACCTTTGAACCTTAATTAAAAATTACAATAAAGGGTGTACTATAATTGTTAATAAAAGAAACTAAATAGTGTATGAAATTATTTTTACTATTCCAAAAAAATTCCAAATATATGTTAAAAACGAAAAATTAAATGTAAAATATTATCGAAAGGGAATTAAAATGAAACGTGCATAATCATGTTCTTATTGTCCTTGACAGATAACGATATCTAATTTTCCTTAAAACATTATCATTTGTTATTAAAATGTTAACATACTTTTAATAAAAATGTATAAAATAAAATACATTTCTAAATGTCTAGAGGGTAGCAGTTAAAATCCTCTTTAGGGTGAATTTAATAAAAAAGTGAGAAACAGCTTGAAGTGACGCGGTCATTTGTCGACGGGTTTACAATTGCCGGATGAATATTTTTCTCTTAAGCGATAACAGGAATATTCTCACAGCTACACGACACGTTTATGAGAATTTAGTTGTTGAACGGGAGTGTTGCCAGGGGTTTTTCAGTTAATACCCGTGTTCGACAATGGTTTAGACGCGAGGTCATCTAACGAAAACTCGTGGCAAGAACTGGATTCGTGGAATTTAATTAAGCTTCGCGCTTTTCTTTCCACTGCCAGCAAAGTAGACGTGTATTGAACTCGCTTTTTCGACGAACGATCAACTTAAATTCGACTGAAACTCTAACGCTGATGGAAAATTAAATTGTTGGAAAGAATTAATTAAAAAGTTAACTGTAAATTAATTTTCAAATTATTTATAGTAAAAAACAATTTTCCTATAAATTATTCAAAATAATATTTTGTGATCAAAGGTTGCAATTTGGCAAATTTATGATTTATTGGTATTAACCATATTGATGAAATATTTATATAGGCATTTTCTTCAAACTTTAAATTGATGTGCCTTAATCACCATTTCGTGTACTAAAACTAAAAGAAACTGTAATAATGGTCTCCATCGAAAAAAACCTCATACTTTTCAGGGAGTCGATTCTCGAGAGTAGTGCAAATCAATTTCATTAGTTTCACCTTGGTTGTTTTCAATGTACATTCACTCTGTTGCAAGTGATAGCAGGGAATGGTATTAAAGGTGCTTTTAAAAGTTTTCTTGGTGCAGCGCTCTTTAGTTGAGTACCAGTTGAAGAGTCCCTTTTCTGTCTTTGCAAGCTCTTCTCTATCGAATGAAACCACTTTTACAATACAGTATTTCTTTTTCATTTATATTTATTTTAACACGTTTCATTTAAATAATGAAATAATACTTGTAACAATTCCACAATTATTATAATCCCAATAAAATAATTCATAATACATCCTTCAATTAATAGCTACAAAATTCTTAAATATCATCATCGTCATGGGATAAATCGTCTTTCATAATTCGTGTCATAAAATGCAATTTCATGAATGAAATTTCCAAGAAATTATATTTTTTACTATAGCGTTTATAGTTCTACGAAATTCTTCAAAATGTGATATCATAGGGATATCCATTCCAAGAATTGGTCTCGGTTATAACAAGCCTTTTGTCATTAGCTCATTGAGATATATGAGTTGCATGTAACATAGAAGCAATCAATGTAAACAAGGGTTTTTACTATGCCGTCATCCTTCCATTAAAAGAAATGTTTAAATTACGATTTTAAGGTCATCAGAAATCCATCAGTTAACAGAAATAATTCCCTACTACAATAACCAATTTATAAATGACCATATATATACAAAATAATTAATCATTTATAATACTGCAAAATAAAAAGATACCATTTTGAGATCATCAGACCATAAAATAGGGACCATCTGGGTCAGACTGACCCAGCTCTTCCATTGGAGAAACAGAAAACGTAATTTCCAAAATTTGCTTTCGTTTATCAGGGAAAGTCACGAATTGTAACAGGATATATAGTCATCCATTTGACGTTTCGACCTCGGAAGATTCACATGTTCTCTAGGAAGGAAACAACCAATACAGTTTCCGTTCGCATCGCGAGAGTGATTGCCAGTTACGGCACTCGAGACATGCCGGATAATTGCGTTACTTGCCGGAACTTCTCGCGTTAACTTTCCTTTCAAAACCGCTACTCGCTAATACCTCTGATGGAAGATGTAAGTTGAAGTTCATCTTTCAACGGGTAGGAGGTAATTGATTATGATCCGTACACCTAACGAAGATAAGTGTACTAATACAGAAGAGGTTACTTTGCGAAAGGCAGAATGAAGATGACAAAATGGCTATAGACTATGGTTGTCAGAAGCATAGGTGTAACTAGGTAAGGACCAGGATGAGAATTGTATGAAAATACAATAGCTATAAACTTCACCATTTTCGGCCCTCCTCGTTGAATACACTTTTCCTCGGGGAAGCTGTATGACAGCAATATTTATGAAAACGCTAATATTTTCGGAAATATGCGAAGCATAATTACGCGGCTGAAATTTATGGTCAACTCACGGAGCATAGCGAAATTACATCATCGCAAACTACCTAAAGGGAGAGTCCGCAGAAAATTCACGATGATGCTGGAATACGGCAACGTTTAATTGGATTGTAAATTCAGAAGCATAAATACCTGAGACATTATCTGTTATGGAATGCATTAACATACGCGGGTACTCTTGTTATGAAAAAGCCATGAAAAGTAGGATACCTACTAAATTTTATATAAATCTGAGAAAAATATTGTAAAATATAATACATGCAATTTCATTCATCCCAAACTAGTAAACATTCCCTAACTATGTAGTATAATAATTTATTCAAAAACTTGAAGCCTGATCATATCTTGTTTTCATATTCTCCCGTTATACAACCAACGAGTCTGCAACGTAGATTTTACACGGTCGACGAACTTGAAACGTTCCTCACGGTCGTAAATCACGGGTATTACGCGTTGTCGATTTTTCTTCTTCTAGCCTGAATCGCCATTAGCAAGATATTTGATACACGCCCACGAAGCTAACGGGGGATCGTTTTCATACCTCATTATGAAGCTATGATATAGCCCTCTACGGTTTCGAGGATAATCGGTGCGGAGGGTGTACAATAGCGAAGAAACGACACCAATAGACGTTCACACCTTGAAGACATCATAATGGAACATAGATAAGGGGTCCATTTTAAAAGTAATCAGCAGAGTGTGGAAGAATACCTTAGAATATCTTAAGTCCTTGTAGGAGGCTTAACCTGAATTTTCAATTTTATCTTAAACGCAGACATTATTGTTTAAATCACAATAAAAGATTCAGAAAATATTTATTTACAAGGTAATTATATTAACAGGATGCTTAGACTTAGGTATCTTCAAGGTAGACCTTTCACTGCACTCACAGCATATTCTTCATAACCAATGACATTTGATGACTATGATTAATCCAAATCATTAATGCCATCTTCATTCTTGCACTGGATACGAGAGTTTCAATATTCTCTTTCTATTCTAGTCTAAATGAAAGATTCACTAGTAGATGGAAATTCTCCCTCGGATGGCGGACCATGGAGAGAGACACGTGTGTAGGTGTACACACATGAAAAGAAGACCATCACCTTTGGTTCGCAGTCAGATAGAATCACCCTAGAAATTTTCAAGGCGAATGGGTCAATAGTCCTCAAGAAATTGGTTCGTCATTCGTGGACACGTAAAGCATCGTTTTACAATGAACAATGCAGTTCCCTCATGGTCACGAGCGGTGCACAGCACATTGTCTATTTTTATTATCAATGCTTGAATAGCGGGTTTTGCAAGTAACAGCGTGGCTCTTTGTCATCGATACAATTATCCAAAGGCGTGCGCCAGAAACAATGCGGCTCAGTTAGCCTCTTGCGATGCGGTTCAGAATAAAGCTTTGCGTCACTAGTTCGGTTCTTCTAGAAACCGATCGGGCCAGTGCGCGTCATCGTTCTCGAGCAACTTGCTTCTTCGAGTTTCTAAATCACTTACTTTTCTGCTCCGTTGCCACGAAACTCCCTCGAAACTTGGGCCATCTCGACCGACGTAAAAAATTTCCCAACTTCGTACACTTCTTCTAATTTCTTCATACATTATAGATACACCAAAATGATTTTTGAGTCGCTGATTCCGATCGTAGGCTACAGATTTGGATTCAATATCCAAATCTGATGCTAACAGCGACAACTTGCAGCTTTCAGCCGTAATAACGTAACGGACGCTACGCTTGAAATTCAACAATACAGGCAATGTGATATTCCACAATTGAAGGGACGTACTAATCTGTGTATAAACCTGTAGCCGAGGGTCAGACAATGGACCGGACTACGTGCCCAGATGGATGCCGGATGTAAACGCGGCCATAATCGTAATCCTGATGGTCCGCCGCGGTTTGCGCGGAATCATAATCCTTTTATCGAGCCATGCTTATTGAGATTATGTTTCCAGGCAATTAATGCGCCATCGGCAGTGAAAATTAATTAAAATTTAACGGAAAAATTGTGTCATGAAAATGGGGGATGGTGAAATAAATGGAAGACTAAATATGTTTTCTTTATTTTCCGTGAAAATTTTACATTCTATTGAGGATTCCTGAATCTCGGAGCAGCAGTTAAGGGTTGAAATGGCGTAGCAGCTCGCTGGAGGAATCATAAATTCTCCTCGGAGATAAAGAACAAACGTTTCCGCAGGTGTCGGAAGGTATATCGACGCGAAACAATCTCACGGGAAACGGTGTTCCATATCAAGTCGGACATTTTTCGGGCTGAAAGAGAAGCATCGAGCGTGGCACTGCGTTAGACGTCGCTCATTTATCGACTTCCTGCACGGTTCTGCCGTTTGCCAGCCACGTCTGATCCGTTTGGAACTTTCCTAACGATCGAGAAACTGTCGTTAAACGAGGCTTCTTCGATGATCGCAATCCGAAACCATCTTATTGTTACTCGCAGAGGATCGTTAATTCGTTTCATGGTTGACGAACGAAATTGATTGATCCTCCATTTTATCCTCTGGATAAGGGAATTCCCTGCCATTGAGACACTTCTGTTTATTTGCATTCAATTTGCCTGAAGTCTCGATGAGATGGTTCAGGGTAGGTTCGATTAATTCCTCTTCGAAGATTTCTTGAAAATTTTTCCTTTCCCCATAACGCCATTTTACCTAGGGAAGCCCACCCTGCCCGATACTGTACCGTACGTTACACTGAAAGTCACGAACGTCGCAAACGTGCTAAACCCCGTGTAATTTCCCGAATATTCGAAGCGTAACAGGCGGACCGCACTGGGAGGACTGGATCGTCAGTTTAGAATAGTCGGTTCCAGGCAAAGTTTCACAAATTTCCCAGTAACATAATGAAACGCTGCCGAATAATTCTCTCCGGAGACGAAACTAACAATACATTTACGTTTGGAACTGATACTCTTGTATTTGTTTCCATTGTTTTGCTTATGTTTGAAATTTGAAGGGGAAGAAAATAGAGCTTTTAAATGAATTTTTCGTTTTCGACAAAACCAAAAATTCGTCTGTTTTCACCACTGTGCTTTGAACGATAAAATCAACATACGATACACGCGATTGTACCCTTGTGAATGCTTCGAAAAACTGTGCGCCAGAATTCAGCAGCTATTGTGGGCCGCACTGTGCAGTGTGTGTGCAGCTTCGAAAATCAGTAAACTGCGCTTTTTATTGGAACCATCGAGGCGCGAGTCAAGTGCTTTGAACACGGTTACCGCCACATCGGGTCTCGCCATCCTGATCAAACATATCGACCGCAATTCTGCGGCTTTCATACGATTCGTGTAAGTGCCAGACCGAGCAACGGACGGATAGCTATGCACATCGCGTTCCGATTGCTTCGTCCTCGAAAACTAGCGATGGGATCAAACCAACGACCCATATCCCCCGTCCATAAATTCGTGGGACATTTATTCATTTCAGCTGTACGTTTATATTAATAATAATTAAGTACCTGCAATATTAATCATTCATTCCTATGGACCACTTAGTATGACTTCCTAGTCTTCAGTTTTGTCGTGCTTCAGTTTCCTCCTCTTGCATCCTAATTTGGTGTTGAGGAAGACTATGCCTAGCCATAATCCCCAAGTCCCATTTCTTCATGGTGATGATATTACAAAGTTTCTGAAATGATAAAATGAAACCATATTTTGTGCATAACGTTTTGGAAGCAGAGCTAAACTATGTTAAAATTACATATACGCGTGTGTAGTTGGTGTTTGCCTTGTATGATTATTCCTGAATACTCGAGAAATCAGGCACACTCATGGCTCCTTTGCCCCTGCCCTTTGAACACGTATAAAGGAAGCTCTAATTACAGAACGATAAATTTAAATGTTCCGTTTACTTTGAACTTCTCAGCAGCGGAACAGCTGTCTGCGTTTGCGTTACACAAGGAGCAATGTTTAAACGACTGAGTATTCATTTTAAAATTCATTTACTGCACCCTATTGTACAGAGAGTTTCGTAGCACCGTTTACGTTTGAATTTCCCGCTGCTTCTAAACAATATGGCGGAGGAACTTAACCTCTACGTGATTTAATTTTGTTTATATTATATCATTATTATAAGAAATTTAAACATTTTGATATAAAATTCTGAAAAATTTATTTTCATTCCTGTTTTGAAATATGTAAATAAAAAGTGAATTACTTGAACTGTAAATTTTAATAAAATGTAAAATAAATATAGATCAAAGAAAGTAAAGAAAATGAAATGTATCAGTGTAATTTCAGCGAAGGTTAATTATCGTTAGGTTCATTTTATCCGCAAATTATCTCGAAAGAACTTGCGGGCACATTTCCAGCAAGTAATCAAGATAAACGTGTTTCCTTTGCGAGCCGTGTAACAAGCAGCAAATGCGCTTGTTGCTTTTTGGCGTCCGGCCAAATGAAACAAACTGAAGTTTCATTCTTGCCATCAGCTTCTCTCGAACCACTTGCTGCTTCGGGATTCTTTTTATTTCTATAGGAAAGGGTTGATCCGAGTGATAAGACGCGAGTCTCTTATTCTAATAGGACTGTAAAAACCGAGATATGATTAAATTTGCATTTAACACAATCAACACTATGAATTTAATTAAAAAATAAAAAACAGTAGTATACTCATTAGTACCATTAAAATGATACTAAAAAAGCAGTGTATTACTCCATTATTGTACCATTCAATTTTTTTTCTGACTTTAATAAAATAGGATTTATACTCCAAGTTGAAAAATTGATAAAGATGGCACCCTATAAAATGAACAAATGCTCATTGGTTAGCAAGTAATGAATAATAATGAGTATAAAACAGATTCCATGAAACTTTTTTACGTCGATTCATCAAACTTTTGGAAAAAGTAAAACTTGTTCGAATAAAACTTCCAAACGAGAAAGTTTCGAATACGTGTCACCGTTATACGAGCGGATAAAAGTCATCTTGAAAGCTTCTGAAGCTCGGATTTACTCGCGCAATTTTAACGATGTAAGTGGCTACATAGATACACATTCTATAGCTTCTACTTTTTTTTTTCTGACAGTGTCGCCGTTTGCAATATTGCATCCGACGATGATACCTTTAAAGAGGAATCTTTCTCTCTTTATGAACGAGATTAAAAATATTTTCATCTCTTGCAACGTTAAACGTGAATTCATGTTACACGATAAAAAAGAAATTTCATTCTTTGATAACAAAGCTCAGGGGGGATTCCGTGAGATTTGTCGGGGATTTATTTTTAAATGTAACTGAATATCGCTGAAGTGCCTTTTTTTACAAGTGACAAGATAACATTCAAATGAAAAGGATTTATGGGAATCCCGTGTTCAAAGGTTAAAATATTCAAATTTTTAAAAATAATATATTATTTACATTGGTGAGAAAAATAATAAGATATTCTATTAAAATTTAAAAAATTTTTTAAATTTACTATCAATAAATCACTTTTATTTAAATCAAAAATTATTTTCATTATCCTCCCGTTAAAATTAATTATTGTGTAGTAAACAAATTACTAATTATTTTAATGTGATTATGATCATTCAATTGTTTGTTGCAGCGAGTACGAATCTCATGGGTAAATTTACACAAAGTGTTCGGAGGATCGTTCAAGATGTGAAAGACGAAGGAACTTCAAGTAAGCACACATTGAATTTTAATAATAAACATACTACAATTCCTTAATTTTCTAAGATCATGGAGAGTTATTCCAGGGTTCAAGGGATATTCCATCAAATGGAATCTTTTAATTCATTGATATATTCCAAATGCAAATTTTCGTTAGATATTGCTACTTTGAAATTTATCCCCTAAAGTGCTAACATAAAATTCGATTATCTAAAGCACCTAAATATTTGTAAGGGAGTAATATCGGAGAGCTGAGATCAAGATGCTCGTACCAACTGTAAGAAATAAGACGTTGGCTGAGTGCCAGCTGGTCGGTCGGTTAGCTCATGAATGAATTTGAAGGAGAAAATTTTACAGCGAGTTAGTTGCTATAGCTTCAGTTCAAATCATTATAAATTTATGCTTACTTTAAGCCGACAGCCTTTAATTTTCACACACATTTTTTATATATTCCCTAGTCTGCTGAAATGAAAATTTTCCACCATCTACCTTCCATTTTCTGAAGAAAGTTAGACAGGATATATTAAATAATGCATTGAAACCTAAAAGGATTGCACTAAGCTATACTAATGATTTTGGTAGTGATTTATTATTATCACTGTGTTGTTTGTTAACATAGGTGGACAAACAAAGGAAGAAGTGATCGAAACAAACGAAAGATTAAGAATCGTAAGGATACGTCTGGACGGAAGTTATGAAATCGCCAAACGTGCACTTGTTGAGCTGATGTGTAAATACACTGACAGCAAACAAGTTCGCAACGTGTTTCAACGTTACAATCTTTTAAAACTTATGATAAAGGTAATTATAACCTTTATTTACTAAATAGGAGATAGTAATATTGCTAAGACCTACTAGTGGAAGGTCCCATTAGTAGAAAACTCCCTCACCAATGGTAAGTCCCACCAGTGGAAAGCTTCATCCGCAGTGGTAGGTTCTACCAGTGGGATGCTTCACCTGGCAAGCCCCACCACTGAAAGTCTCCACCAGTGAAAGGTCCCACTAGTGAAAGGCCCCACCAGTGGAAGGCCCATAACAGTGGGAGGTCCCACTAGTGAAAGGCTCCACCAGTGGAAGGCCCATAACAGTGGGAGGTCCCACTAGTGGGCGGTTTCATAAGTGAAAGGACCCACCAGTGGGAGGTCCTATCAGTGATAGGGCCCACTAGAAGTAGATTACCTTATATTTTGCATAACAACATAATTTTGATTTTATTTTTCCAGGACGTGATTAAATTGGAGACTCAATACTGGACGTTGGTAGATATACCAAAGCAGGAGAAACAGGAGACGGTACCTGCCTTTGTCCTACGCGCGTGTTCCATCATGGAGAAGACACACAAGAGCGGGGAGGGCGTTAAAACCTCTGCCAGACTGGCAGAGGAGGCTGAGACGAAAAGGGAACGCATCGAGAGACTTGAAAGTGAGTTATATTCATTATTTATGAGCTAGAATTTATACCTTAGAAAATCATAAAAATGGTGTTATGAATTATCATAAAAATCTATAGAGTGTTTCACAATACAGATTCACCATACAAATATCATCAAAGATTAGATATTATTTCCATTTTTGAATAAAGGAATACTCTAAAAGCATAGAAGCTTTAAATGCATACTAAATGTTGAAAGTTCAAACAGAAAACGAACATATATTCGGTATACGTGAACGAATAGTCCTCTGGTAGCACAAATTGTGTAGGAAAGACACGAACCGATAACTGTCTTGTCGCTTGGAAACTTTCCAAGCATGAATAACGTATAACCTTCTATCATACGTGCTCAATAGAGGCAGGAAGGGATCAGTTATGGCATTATAGCAGCATTGTCATTCAATATTATTGTAGGATCTTCAAATTTACTCCCAAGTTGAAGAATAGTGGTTCAATGGAAAAGTAAAAATTCAACTAATAATATATTTTATGTTTGTTTTAATTCATACAGGTATGACGACAGCCCAAATTGAAGCAGAAAACACGCAAATGACTAACGATCTGTATAGACTGCTGAAGAAATACACAGGACTAAGGAATCTGATTCGAGACTTAAAGGTATTTGTCAATGAGGACACTGTAGTACACTACTAAAGTCAGTTGAAAATAAAATCAAGACACTTGAAAACAAAATAAGTTCAATAATTCCATTGATGGAACCTCCCACTGGTGGGGCCTACTTAGTGAGTGGAGCCTTTCACTGATCCCCACCACTAAGGCCCCCTTAGTAGGTGGAGCCTTCCACTGGTGGGGCCTTCTTAGGGCCTGATGAGGCGTTCTACTGTGGGGCGTTCCACTCTAGGGCCTCCTACTGGTGGGGCATTCCACTAGTGAAGCCTTCAACTCATTCTTTTCTTAGGAAAAGCCGACCTTATGTTATCAGTATAATAATAATAATACTATTCAAAACATTTTCACCCTTTTCTTTTATTAACAACTCAATTACATTATATTTGAGCTGTCAATCACTTATAACTACCACGGCATTCAACGTGTTAGTCTAATAATAAACGCTAACTCGTGTTAGCGAAGTAAGTAATTTTGCCACATTATTCGAACCTTGTTACATTCAGTCACTTAACACCACTCACCATAATTAATAACGCTAATGCACCGTTTGCCACAGGAGGAGTACAACAGCTCAAAGGTGTATCCAATTTTCCCTCGTTACCCGATACTGAAGGACATGATCAAGGATATAATGCACAATCCAGACTACATGGAGGTTTGTCACGAGGTGGACCAAGCATAGCGGCCAGACCCCCTCCACCGTTCGCCACGCATGACCTTGTAAATTTTCTCAATTTGCAAAAGGTCTTTTGCGCGGTCGTTGGTGAAGGGGGTGGAAACGATGGGAAACGAACCCGAGCCAAGGTGTTCGTGGATTTTGTAAATTTATTTCACTGAAAAAAAAACCACATATCCACGTTAATCGTGCGCTGGTTGACGTCATTTGTCCTGTGTCGCCTGATTCGATTTAAACCAGCGCAAATTTACGAGAAACCATTTGTTGCCCGCCACTTCTAACTCTGTTCGTTGATTAATGAACGCATTCAGAGAATGAAATTTGATATCGAGGAAAGATAAGAGGAAGAGAGAGAATTTTATTGGAAAATTATAATTAAGGCTCTTTTAGAAAGATCATTTAGAAACCCTTCGGATGTTGGAATTGAACTGGTGGTACAGTCGGTGAGATATCTGCTACTTGATGACTATATTCCAAACTTATTTACCGGAGGAAGCAAACGTGAAATAATTTGAAACTTAAATTGAAAAGTTTACAAGTTTGACGAACTTGTTAGGAATACCAGTTCAAAACCTGTTTCGAAATAAATTTATGGAAACCACCATTGCATGATTCAGGAAGCTAACCTAACTCCAATAATAAAATACATAATATTTATAGAAGATTCGCTACTTAACTATATTAATTTTTGCAACAAATTCTGTTTTTTTTTGATTTTTGTAAAATTAATCCAAAAATTGAAATACGTACGAAAATTTCTTATGGCATAAAGAATTTTTTTTTTTTTTTTTTTTTAATTAATGAACAGGTATTAATAACACCAAGTGGCAGATGTAAAAACAATTCCAACATAATAGAAGTCGTTAGTTTCTGATTTCGATCGGAATAGCCGCTTGCACGTTGAAACACAAAATACAAAATACACCATGACGTTCCATGGGAACGCTGCATAAGGTGTAGAATTTTTATTAATCCAGCTGAAATCGCTCGTTACAGAGAGAAAGCTGAGAAAATGTTAGATTTGTAAGATGTGTCCGCATGTATGCGTGTGTGTATGTACGTGTGGATTAACAAGAGGATTAAATGTGAAAATAAAAAAAAAAACGTAATAATCTGCTTCCTGCTAATGAGCATGTGAATTTATAACGTTTCATCGAAGGAGACCTCTCTTTACCTACGAACAGGACAAACAGGAGCAATCTAGGACATTGAAGTTTTTATTCGACACTGGAGACAACACTTTTTACGAATCTAAGGAATTTGTGCTTCGACCATGGTGCAGACTATTAAATATAAAATTGTTAACTTATTAATAATCGATGTCGTAAATATTGTACAGTATGGAGCATTGTATTTTTTTCTAAATTAATCTTGGTATTAATATTCCCAAAATTAGGATTTTGAAACTTATGTTTTCATTCAGTTATTCATATTTTATTTTAATTTTAAGTATTTTCATATCTAGGGAAGTTTATTCCTAATGTGTGGTAACTTTTGAGTATTATGGCGAGTGGTGGCGCTTCCTTCGCCTACATCGCTATTTCCCTAGGGACGACTATGCTCGGTACTGTACATCAAACTGATATTAAAGCAGTAATTAATGTCACTACCCTTTTTATTTATAATTTCTACTATTTTTCTCTTAAATGAAGCTATGAAAATTCGAAATAATTTTTTACATAGAATATTCCGTATTATTAATAATTATTCAACAATAAATTTAATTCTGGTATGGTTCTAGATGCTTCCTCTTTTTAACTAACAGAAATAGAAGATAATAGACATAACATTGATAGCACTATCAATATTTTTTTCTCAATGATTTTAATTATGTCATGATATTAAGAGAGTTAAACTCGATATAAGCTAAATTATTGAAGCAGTTGAGGATTAAAAAAGAATAATAATAATTCTCTCTGACATAGGAAGCAGCACACTGATAATATCAGAAACGAGCTTCTTTTATGTCTGTCAGAAGACTTTCCAGTACATATACATTCAGCTTATCCACGTGTTAAAATAATATTATCTACTTTGTATGTTAAAATAATGATAGCCACAAATCGCATATAACATTGCTGCGTATTGAAATGAAAAAAAAAAAAATGAAATGCAAAGTATATGAGCGTTACTTTGATACACAAAACATATCGTCATTGTCGTATTTGTATACATAATATAAATGTAAAAACATCAACATAAACAAATACACGTGCATACGTACATATTTACTTACGTGACTGAATCATCATTTACTTTGTTCAAGTATGATATTTTGTAAATAATTGAAAAATTGCATAAACGTTCAGATTAAACATATAGGTACGTATGCTAGATACATCACATTTTTTATTAACATGTTACAAGGCATGATTATTTTGAAATTAATAATGAAGCACGTTCGCTGATTATTCATATCGAATAATTCGTGCTAATTGAGGTAATTTTATAATTCGGTCAGATAATTGAATTGTTACAAGAATTTCCGAGCTCATCAATAATTGTTTTACGTTTTGAATATTATGGCCCTCTGTTAGAGGCTGTGGGAGGTGGTAAATAAATATGTGGTGTGTAGGAGTAAATTACGGATTAATTAATTATGCTTGACTGATAAAATAAAACAAATTTACGTAACTGAAATTGGCAAATTGGCAAAATATGAAACGAAAGAATAAAAAATAATATTCGATATGATTAGAAATTCCAGCAAACGTGCTATTTAATCACCTGCGACATCAACGTAATTTTCATTGAAAATACACTCTTTGCATTTGATCTGAAGAGTGCAAATTACAGTGGAGAAAAGATTTCTAAAAGTGTCTCACATAGGCTAACGTTTGATACACGTAGCGAACGATCAATTGTTCGTATAGCATTTCAAAAACCAAGTATTTTCTCGCGGGGAATACATATTTATTTTACTACACACGCTATTGTGATATTGATTTTTCATTTCAGTCGAAAACACTGAACAGCCTTTGAGAATCTATCGCGCGTTCTATCGTTTAAGAACTAGTGGTAAATAATACATAAGTAATGTGTAAGAAAAAAAAAAAAAAAAAATATGGCTGACAGCTCGAAATCAAAATGCAACATATAATGCGCGACCCACATTGAAACGACCACCAGATGATCCACTGTTAATTACAGTGAATCCTTTTCAATGTGCGACGATGCCTAGTGACCCACGCTCTGTTCCCATGTATGTATCAAACAAGACACAAATCAAAACACAGATGCACTTAATAGAACCTCACTGACATGCAGTCCACAAAAATGCTGGGTACAGGCATGTACAACAAGCTAAAAGTAATAAGTTAAGTTATCGAACCGGGTATTGCAAAATGACTTGGAAAACATCCCTTATGGATTTTGCAAATAGAAAAGCATTATTTTTGCAAGTATTATTATTATAATATAAGATATACTTTCCTTGATGATATTGGAATTTTTAAATTTTGATTTTGATGGAATGCATTTATGGAGAGGATGAGAACTAGTCACATCAAAATAAAAAATGTTTACATTTAAAAATCAAATAAATATTTTTCGACAAGTATTCATTTCTATCTGATTAAAAATGAAAAAGAACGAATGCATGATTATAATAGAATATTTTTCTGTCTGCATCCAGCAAATCAAACATGAAAACACATACTGACTGTTTAGAATAGCGCTTTCGTCGTAGACATTTGTATCTAACTCTATAAAGTGTGCATGTAAGGTAAAGGTACAATATTTAAATAAATACGACACAAATGACTACACTACAGCTTAACAATTGTTTATTTTCTGAATGGATCAAATTCGTCTAAATCAAACGCTTTAAAATCAAAATGTGTTACAAAACATTCAATGATCAAAATTCTGTCAAAAAATCGCGGTATTTGTAAAACATTTATACGTTCATACAAAGACCAAAATCAATTTCAAAAATTATTCATTTTTGTTCCAAGATTGACTGGTCAAATTCTATTTACAATAACTGTATAAACAAATATATCGAAACGACAGTTGATATTTTTTATGCAAACAAATCCCTTCTTAGACCAATTATCGTGTAATGTAAGGAAAAAAAAAATTTGAAGTTAAGTAGCGTAAAAAAAAAAAAGCAACACGTACATTTGTGTAGAAAAAAAAAAAAGAGTACGGTTCTACTCGATGCAATGTCTTGGAATTAATGAATATAGCAAGTGTGCTCGCCTTTTCGATGAAACTAGGAGGGTGCCAAATAGATTTTGAAAGTTTATACGTGTGTGTACATGTGTGTGAATAATATCGTCACGCAGACGCATACATCTGCGAATGTTTCTGTAAAATTTTTATATAGAGTGTCGTATGTTATACTATTAATATAGTATCTGTTTCGCTGGAATGATCGCCAATTGTTAAATGTACAGTTGCGTGCAACTGTCGTATCCAACCTAATACAACACGCACACCATAGTGCTAACCAAACGAATTTTATCACATTTTGTGCTGCTTCTTCTGAACCCGTAAACAAAAATTTGATAACACAATATGAACATACATTTACAATGTCAATTAAAAGAATTCAAACACACTGATCAACTTCCTTTTCCTTTCATAATAATTTTAATTTATAATTGACAGTATATTCACGCAACTAACATTGTTTAAATCGAAATTGGTGATCACTCTAGACAAATAAAAAATTTATCGTCTAAGCATAATTACAATGAACGTATACAGATGTCCGATACGAGAGATCTACCTAATGTGTTTAAAGAGTATATAGATGAAATAACCGTGTTAATGTTTTTTCTAGAAATAACTGAATGGTGCTTTGGTTTCTCATGAAATGTCATTTAAAGAAGATTCTTAAAATCATTAACAGTATAGAAGAAAAAAGGCACTTTTGTATTTATTCTACTTTCATGAACTCCCTTTGAGGCATATATGAAAAAAAAAAAAAGATTAATTGATTTAAAAATTTTGTAAATGTTTTTTATTTGTATTTTATCATGAATTTATACTGAAAAAAAAAATCGGCACAGTGAAGTGATATCGAAGATCAATTATGAAATCAAAGGACCATTATGCATAAATATACAATAATCGGTCGGCAAAGAAAAGAAAAGGTAAAAAAATATTTACAGCTTTCGTATCGCGATCTTAATAACTGTGTTTACGAATCCACCAATGAAAATTCGACCAATCTATGTGTCTATAACTAATGATTGTACGCATGTCTCGTCTACATACGTGTCTAAACGACCTTCTTCTAAATCATTAATCGCTTTATACATATGATAAGCTTTGGATGCATATTGATAAGTTATATAGACGTAAATTTTTATGAAAAAAAAAAAAAAAGTATATTTTGACAGAAACTTCGTGAGGAAGTTTGTGAAAAGACCTTTCAAAGAGACTGTTCGAATTGCAAAGAATATCCACAGTTATTTCATTGAAGTACCCTTTGCGATATTACCAGGTCATCACCATGCTTGTTATCAAAATAAAATTTGTAAATTTATTAACTAATTGACTGTATGAGAGTCTAGTAAAAACTGTCCAAATATTAGCGCAGCTAGCTTTACGTACTTCACTGTACAACGTGTGGTTTAATAAGCGAAGATATTCTTCAAATACATAATTAATCACCATATTGGACGAAAAAAAAGAATGCATTATGCAGAAGTATCTTCCATGACTCATATCATGTAATTTCTAATCAATAAATATTAGAGAAACAATGTATGAGCCAGTTATAGAGAATACAAAAAAATGTACACTCTGAAAATTACAAATTTGCCATAACAAAAAAAATCGAAAATTCCTTTACCATTTTGTAATCTGACGCTCGGACGCCACGTTTAAACCAATCAGGTGACGCGCAATCAAAATGGCGCTCAGTCACACGATCAGCTGACTACTTTGAAATCAAAATTAAACGCCAAAATTTATACCTTAAAAATGATAAAGAATTTTTTAATTTTTATTGATATGGAGGATTTACAATTTACACAGTGCACAATTTTTTTGATAACCTTATAGTTTATTAAATACACACGTTTCAACATCAACAAAAGAATTTGAAATGAATGAAGTGTATAGTAACTGTTCAGCATTTGCTTATGAGACTTGAATTGTTGGTACCCTTAATCTCTAGTCCGTATAGAATTTCTAATACCCATGTAATCTATTTGTGGTAACAGATATACTGTTGTGATGTTTGTATGTTCGTTACGGTAGAGCCGTGAGGTCGGATTTGTTTAGGGATGCATAACGTAGAACTATATTATAACCATGTATGATATTGCTAACGTTTTTATTCTTCTCAATCAATAATTTACTTTTATTAAAATAACGTTTAAAGGTGATATGTGAAGATAAAAACCGGCTGTACAAATTACGTTTAGACGACGATGAGAATTGTTTTGTATTTTCAAACTGAACGTGTTTAATACAAATTGTATAAATTTCACTTCGTCAACTGTTTCGTATCCATTGAACGTTTGATTAATGTTTTTAATATTTTAAATAACTGTTTCATTAACACATTCACTACCAACCCTGACATGCCTTTAAAACTCATCATATTATCTTATATCATTTAAAAAAAATGGAGTCTATCTATAATTATATCATCTATGACATAGCCCATGGCGGGAAATCTGAAATTGCGCGCCAATAGTGAACGTGTTAAAGAAACTGAATCTTCCACAATTTTGAAATCAAGTTGCAAAATTGTAAGTTTATTTTAAAACACTTTAATGATGGCGAGTGCATTAAAATTCCGTGAGAAAAAAAAAGAAATAATAGAGCATAGATGACGAGTCGCGTATTGTCGATGTAAGTAAAAAAAAAAAAATAGTTTGTAATTTGTGTTACTAGTTATGAAATGAACATGCCGTATGTTAGTAAGCAAGGAAACTGTGTGTGTTTATAATCGCGTTCCTTAAACAGACTGGCCCTCATAGTTTACAGAAAAATAACGCGTTGATGTATGAACTGGTGTTCAATAGTAACTAATTAGCCATTAGATATGCTAGATTAGCGAAACGTAACATATGCTAGATGTCATAGTGTCGTATTAGTATTTACACCCTTCCATTAACGCATTCTGTATTTTCTGGTAGAACATAGATAGTAGTTACGTGTACATGCGCTAGAATAGTTGTAAAAGTTATACCTTGTGTCCACTGATTTGAACAGTACCTTATGCTGCGGTGTATATTCAATGTACGATTTTCATTTCGTCTAATACACCTTTGTTACAGCTAACGAGACTTAGTTGTTTATTGGTCGTTAAGCTTTGTTAATAAAATATAATAAAATTTTGAATGAGCCTCGACTTGATTTTATTGAACCAATCCCAAAATCAATTTTAAAAACTTGTAATGCAGTTAGAGTACCTAGGTAGAGGCCAGGGTAGACCTGCCCCCATAAAAAATGTGAATTAACTCCCCCACCATTCTATAATTTTAGACGAACATTTAAAAAAATTAGAAACAGATTTTATAGCGTCTTTTATAGACATAGAATGCAAATCTAATTTGTATTTACGGAATATTAATAGGCGGCACCACTAACGACATCAAAGTTAGTAACAATCAAGATGGCTGCTACCAACTCGAGTATACCCAGTGATAATCCAACAAAGAAGGAGGATGAATTCAACGAATTTTATACAGAAGTATTTAAATTCTGAATGACATTAAAATGCTACTTTCCCTTATACAATTCAATTTTTCCTGTAAATGTCTGTTGTATAACTGTAAACACTTGCACCATATTTTGAAGGTTAAAAAATGTCACTTTGTATGAGTCAAATGACAATAATAAATAGATTTATAACACTATATATCACACAATTTACCTTACTTTATAAACTACACCTAATATTTATTTAAATTACTATAAACGAACTTGTTTTCTCAGTCAAATTGTACTTTGTAAATAAGCCTAACCTATACAAATGCATCTGCTTCCTAATAAACTTGTTTTGCTGAGCTTGAGAACTGTTATTTTTATTTAGGTGAAAGAAATAGAAAAAAGGGATTCAGTATTGACTCCTAAGCAACAAATTGATAGATTACTTCGGCCTGGATCATCTTATTTTAATTTAAACCCTTTTGAGGTATTGCAAATTGATCCATCAACTTCTATAGATGAGATCAAGAAGAAATATCGACGTGTAAGTGATTTTATTCTCCTTAACCCTACATATGAATCTGTATTATTACACATTGATTCATTTTTATTTTATAGATGTCAATACTTGTCCATCCTGATAAAAATCAGGATGATGCAGAACGTGCACAACAAGCATTTGAAAGTAAGTATCAAGTTTGATTTTATAGTATGATAGATTATTAATATTTTCCTTTCCTTACAGTTGTAAATAAAGCATGGAAAACATTAGAGAATGAAGAAACCAGAGCAAAATGTATGGATGTTATTGAAGAAGCCAAAGCTCGGACTGACCACATGGTAAGTATACAAAAATAAAACTTCAATTTTTTTATAGAAACATACATAATGATAGAAAACTTTATTAGATTGCGGAGAAAAAAAAGAAATTGAAAAAAGAGGGAAAAACAGATAGTGGAGCTATACTTGAAGAAGAAACAGACGAAGGTTACAGACATGCAGTCTGGGTCATGACAATGAAGCTTTTCGCTGACATGGAGCGTCGAAGGTGCGTAATAATTTAAATAACGAAACGGAATCATATGAATAATGTTATGTTTTATGCAGAAGAGAATTAGCTACTAGAGATGCGGAGCAGCGTAAAAGAAAACGAGAAGAAGAATTATCCGCGGAAGCGCAAGCTGCGTTAGAACGTGAGTGGCAAAAAAATTTCGAAGAATCTCGACAATCAAGAGTCGACAGTTGGAAAGCTTTCCAATCTGGTAGTAGTGCTACAAAACAAAAGAAAGCTAAGAAACTGAAGGCTTTCAGGCCACCCAAGACGAAAGCAGAATCTCGATAATTAAGTTCTTGTTCCTGGCACCTGAGTAGATTCCTTTATTCAGTACAATGTCTTTTTTTTATATTTCTTGAGGAAATAGTGTTCTATTCATCATATGACATTAAATTTATTGAAACTGTTTGAGACTGTTCTCATTTCACACTTATTAGCTAATCAAAAACTTGTTATTCAGGACTAATTATATCGAATCAGGTGTCAAAGCAGGCAATGTGGTATAAACAAAATAACAAGTAGCTTGAGTAACAAAGTGAGAACGTATAATGAATGTATCTTTTAAGAATTTGTGTGTTTGTTGAATGCTTAGGTATGTATGGATATGCATACATAGTTGTGATACATTTACATGGCCCTGATAAGTTAAATTTGAACGCAGTCTGAGTATAAAAAATTATTTTTAAATTTTAATACAATCTATATTTCCAGTGTGTATTATAGCAATTATCAATTCTGAAGTGTATACACACTTCATACTTTTTATTTAACATATAAACAAATTAATTAATTTTATTAGGTTAAAATTTCGTACCGCATAATGTACGATAAAGAAGGTACAGTATACAAATATGATTTCATGCAAAGTATCAGTATATAACCTTTAATCACGTAATTATCATTCTATTCTAAAATAAAATGTTTTATTTATTACTTACGTTTATTAGATGAAAGCAGGATATCTTTCGTATTTCTTTCTTCCACTTTTTGCAACTACTTAAGTTCGTTATACCCCGTTATGAAATCCACTACATTAGTCATAACACCCACTTCACATAAATTTAAAAAATTACAGTTATTATTATTTTAATTATTAAACTGTTATATTAATTAATTAATTATTAAATTATTATTAAATTTTATTATTAAGTGTTAAACAAAGTGATAAAACAAAATTGTAAATTACACTGTCGCGTTCAAGTAACTTAACGGGCCATATAGTCACGACTTCCGGTTTACGGTCGGTAAAACAAATGTTGCAACTCAACGTACATTTGGTCCAATTGTATTTGTAAGATTATTGTAGAAGAGGGACGTAAATTTTCTCGTTACAGTCACTTCATACAGTCTTATCAACATATGAAAGTCAATGTTGTACAAGTGCCGATGTGAATGAGAATATGTGAGTATAAAAGAAATCTGAATATAGGATTTTTATTAAAGACATTAAATCGTATGAATGAGCTTCGCTGTGAAGCAGTATATTTTTAACCTTTCTTTCTTCATATGTTTTTGTAATATACCGCTCCAAATTGTCGTCACCTGTTCACGTAATATTAATGTGAATTTTTCTATGATGCCATATACTTCGCTAACACCGATTTATATACCAGGGCAAATATTAATGACCAGTTCACTGTTCACAGGCAACGCCGAATGATGCATTAAATACACA